AACTTGACTGTTTCAATGAAAATGAAAGAGAAATAATAGAAAGGGAAAATTGCCTCTAAATGCTGTATAAGAGAATTTATTATCCAAAGTTTCATAAATTTTATAAAATACTTATAAGTTCTAAATTTTGATCATTTACAATTTTTTTAAGGGCATTTATAATTGAGAAATGGATATTTATAACTTGCCATTATAAGTTGTTTTTTTTTTACAAGTTGTAAATGCTCATTGATCAATTATAAATACCTTAGTTAAATTGTAAATGTGTAGAATTTATAATTTGAGAATATTTTATAAAATTTTGTGAGACTTGATAATAAATTCTCAGTATAATTTTTTCTATTAGAAATGATATGGCGATGATAATAATGTATAACAAGTGTGTCAAGTAATAATGTAAAATAATCAAATGTAAGCGCCGTATGCCATTTGGCAAAGTAGGGCTAAAGAAGTTGGCGTTGGTTAAACTTGCTTATGTATACTGGCTACATAATATTCTTCGTTTTTAATGATACATACATAGATACATGCATACATACATATATATTCTGATAACGATGATCTGTCTATTCCAATGCATAGGGCATCACCTTCAAAGTGTTATATGACATTTGGACACCACAAATCCACAATCAGCTATGTATAAGCGAGCAGTGGATTAGAAGGGCCATGAAACATCAACACTTGATTTTAGGATGTGGACTATACATTTGTAATATAAATTCGTCGCGCTCTTGTTTTAAATATTTTTAGATAGATTATTCTTATTTTTTTCTGAAAAAGAAAAATAAGTTCAAACTAGTCAGTCACCATTGCCATTATTAAAGCGTACACCACACTACTTATTATTGAAACAGAAAAATGGCCAAAATATCTTAAACATAATATCATAAACACATACGGTGCACATATTATTTACCAGTGGCAAAGCCACATAAATTTTAATGAATTTAACTAACAATCTGGCAAATTAATTATATATCCGAATTATATATATAAAAAAAAGATTAGTTATCTTTCTCAATGTAAAGTATGCGTGTGTAGTTTATTGTATCAAAAAAAAACAAATGATTTCTAACTCGAGAATATAAAATATAAAAACAATGTAACGAGTTCCACAATTCATAACTCAAACAATATAATTAACTCACTAATTCAAACTAATGCAAATTAATTAGAAAACAAGTGCAAATTGGCCAGTTAGGAAAAGATATCATGTGAGGACCCAAGATGCTTGCTCACTACTACTATTAGTACTAAAAGTTTATACTATATAGGAATCAGTTTCAGTGTTCATCATATAAATGAGTACTGAGAGATCATCATCTTTAGACTGTTTAAATTTAATTTTTATAATATAAATTTATAAATTTTCAACTGGTGTTTTTTAAATAAATTTTTTTGAATGATAGTCAAAAAATTGTCTTTATTTTAAATTCTGTATCAATTAAAATAATGTTTTTGGATACCACATTTTCTCAATCTTTGAAGCACACAACAAAATAGCTGTTGGGTAACTCAATGAGTTCAAAGCTCGTTATACCCCATAGAAAGTCAAGATAACTTTTCAGTTCAAAGATATTGAATCTTTTTCCAAGCACTATGATGATCGAGGCTTGATTCCATGGTTTACACCACTCGTTGAATTCCTCTGTGGTGTTGAGTACTTCTAGATAAAACTCTTTCATTTGCTTAATCTCTTCAGAGACTTCCAACGGATCCTATCATGTCTCTTCATCATCCAAAATAAGATCATCTTCAACAATCTCCCCACCATTTGCAACACCATCATACCCCAATAAAGAATCTTTGTGAGACGTTTGTTTCGTCTCACTTTCATGCTGATTCTCGCGACCTTCACCTTCATCATGATCCATGGCAGTCGCCTTGTCATTCCTAGTCTCGCCCAGCATTTTTTCATCCATAACTACATCCACCATAGTAGAGTAATAGTCCTCTATCAACTTCTTTTTTTCGATTTCCATGAGAGGTCATCCTTCAGCCGGTGCAGAGGTATCTTCCAATGATCTTAGTTGTCTATGAAAGAAGAGAAGAATGACGACACAGATTTCAAGAGAGAGTGAAGTGGAACCTAACTTAGAGACTGCTAGAGCCTCTTTCTTGTCCAATTTTGTTGCGATATGGATGATTCAATTGACCTCGATGTAGCAACCCAATTAATTTGCAAGGTCGAGAATATTTAAAACAAAAGCGTGAATATTAAAACATATGTAATCAATATTTCCTGTTTTGGGTTACTTTCATTTTAAAATGTTTGACCGGAAGATATTAAAACACTTGTATTGAATTGAAGTACTTACTCATAGTGGCAGAGTTAAAGGTTGTGGTTTCATCAACAACATTTCTGCTTCCTGTGATGATGGTGTTGGTTCTGCTATCTAGCTCCCACAAACATTACATTCATCTTCGAGCTCGATACCTCTACGTTCTCTCTATACACCCCGGCTTTTATCCTTATCACATACCTCGTGCTACTTCTCGTCGGTGCTGCCACCGTCGCCTCTGACACCGTCCTATGATCCCTACTCCCATAAGCAGCCACCACCACATTTGGAGTCACCATCGACGACTGTAAAAGACTGCTGTCCTTGATTGACATCCACACTGGCCATGTACCACCATCCACCTCCTCAAGTTCCATCAGTTTTCTGTTATTACTAGACATATCATTGTCTGTCATGTCCTTAATCATTGCCAGTGCGTTGCTGCACAAGCGTTCCATGTGAACTTGCCCGTTCTTCAGCCTTTCTCTCACGCTTCTGTCGTCCTTGTTGAAGGAGAACCCGTTCAGGCATGTCTCCTGGTTGGTCATGGCGACGCTGAGAAAAGTTTTGATGTCGTCGGCGTGATTAGTGGAGTCTTTGAGGTCTACGATGACATGACGAAGCTCGTACAGGGTTTCTCCGACAGTTTCCAAGCAATCGTGAAGAGCGACTTTCTGTCCCTTCGTCAGGCCTTTTTTTGGCTCAAATTTTGTTGACAGTGAGCTTGTTTTGTTGGGAGAAAAATAATAATAAATTGATAATATGATTTTAAGACAATCATATGCTAGAAAGCCTTTATGAAATACCTTTTGCTATTGCTTATTAATATGATGCAGAGTATTCACAAATAACACCTTCAATTAAGAACACTAAAATCAGAAAAATTTTGTCAGAGAAAAGATTATTAGGGTACCTTCTAACTAGGGTAAAAGCATAGTGATGAATTGGAGATCGCTATCACTAATCAAGGAACCCTAGAGAGTAGAGATTACGTTTTTTGATAGACTGTACCCTCACTCAAATCACTGTCAATTACTTATAGTGCCCATCATATTATTTTTTACTTAATTAAATAAATGACTAATAATATCCCTAAACTTAGACTCTGTCAACAACCGATTAGCGGACCACACTTAGAATATTTTATTTAACTGAAATTATAATAATTAACAATAGAATATACTATATAATAAGATAAAATATCTAACATGTTTTGCCCTACGGACCTGATGGTTATGTTGAGGGACAGTTCTCTGGCATCTTTGTGGCTGGACAAATTCTCGGTGAAGCCCGGCTCGGAGGTAATGGCGGAGAAGCAGAGTTCACGGTACAACGCGGAACTGCAAGCGGTTTTTACTAAGTAGTGTGACGGGGTGAAACGGATATTATCAATGTCGGTGCCGGAGATTTTGCTGGATTTAACTCCGACGATAATGCCGACAATGGCTGAGACTGAGAGCAGATTAGTGAGGAAAGCAAAGAAGAAGACTTCTTCCTGGACATGGGAATGGCGTCGCCAGAATTGGACATGGTTAAGTTTCAGAATTTGACTAGAGCGAGGGGGGGAGAGAAGAGAAAATGAGAATATATGTAAATCAGGTACAGAGAGGTTGAGGAAGCTCCAGAAGAGAATGGCGAAAGGATTTATGGAGCAAGAATTTGAAGTGCACCTTTTTTTTTTTTGGGATATTGTCGGTAGATGAGGCGTCGAATACAACTTGGTGTAATTATTAACGTAGAACAAAAAACGTGTGACTAATTTTGTGATATTTCTTAATGTTTGTCATCTTAAAATAAAAAACCAATAAAAATAGATGCATCCTTATATTTTATGTTAAATACAATATAATGATGACTATTTATAATTGGCTATAAATTTTATATTTTATGTTGATTTTATGCTATCTACTACAGTATTGGTATATTCAATTAAAAGTTCTCCAAATATGATTTCAACCCCTCATAATATATATATATATATATATATTTGAATCTGATCACTCTTGGTTGGTTTATACTGATTTTTAATTTGCATGGAAATATATATATATATATATATATATTTGAAAACTGGTCCCCTTTTATTTCTGGCCACAACATGGGTCCCCTGTTGGCTATTTGCTGCGTCTTGGAGCTCCTTAGCTTCTCCCATGACCCGTGGCATGGAACCCCAATGTAAGTCAACTAGTGATTGATTAGTCAATTATAGAGAGAAGTCATACTCTTCGGCGTCTCTATATAATGTGGTTTAGATAAGATTTTATAGATATGAATATGTAAATGAGAGTTTATATAGCTGAAGTAAAAAAGATGATCACCCAAATTATGCTAGCGTGAACTTAAATCTTGCCATCAATATGGATATTTTGTAGGTAAATAATATATTAATTAATCTCGTGCACACAGGAATGCCTAGATAGGGAACATTTTTGAAGCGTTCAAGTACTCCCACACAATTTTTTTTTTTTGGTAGTAGTAGTGTCTCCCAGCTCTCTGGCTCTGCTTCACGGTTGGATTTTCCTTTCCCCTTCCTTCGTACTTCACAGGGCCATTTTTCTTTTTTATTCCGTATTGCACTTTTTTATCCTCATCTCATCTTTTTCCACTTCCTTCCACTACGTACGTGCGTACGCTTGATTCTTTCACTACTACCACGTGCTCCGCTTTTTCAGCTTTTCCACTTTCAAATTCAAATGCTAAAAATAAGCTTCAAAATACAACATTTTGAATCTCTGCCTCAGTTCACATGTCCACTTCTTAAAAAGCACATCCTTGCTTTCTTTTAATTAACCCCCCGGCCAAACAAAGAAGCATATATCCTTAATGTTTAATACAATAACTTAAGAAAAATTGCACAAACTGGCCGGTGGCTTAGGGATTACAGCATTATTAGTTAGCTGTATGTTATCGGAGTTCAAACCACTGATCAACAATATAGATCACTGGCTAGACTCTGCAGAGTCAAATTATTTTTCCAAAGTTAACTTACAGGCCAAGGGCAAATGGGAAGCCTGTAGAACGCAACCAGCTAGAGCCTGCAATGAAGTTTCCAGGAGTGAAACTTTGAGCTTCAGTGGCACTGGTAATAACCCTAAATCCTTTCCAGTTAACTCTTGCAGAAGTAACAGCTCCAGGTCCAGTGTTCTGATACTCCCCGTAGAACAAAGTGTTCAACGCAAAATTCCCTTCCCAAGGGAACCATCCTTCTGGCTGGATCACGTCGCTTATCTCACTCTTCATTATCACCGTCCTTGAATACTCCTTCCATGGCCTCCCCAGGTACGTTTCCACGCTTCCCTTCACTGCCAATAAATCCTGCAATTCAGCAGAAAATACCAACTATATTCAAATACTGTGGATATTGGCCTTTCATGATCTTGTTGTCGGTGGATTGTGATGAACAGGTGAATCACACAAGCGAACCCATTTGGACAATGGTGCAGCCTACACAATCTTTTAGCTATCAGTTTTAATCCTTCAGATCAGAAAGATGACTGAGTCAAGGAAGTGACGAATCCAAGCAGGCGTACACGGGGCAAAATTGATAATTATCTAGAATAATAGGGGGGCTAAACTAAATTTCACATTTTTTTACAAATAAAATTTTAAAAAATTATAAGGCAATAGTGAAATTGGGGAAGCAACGCTTGCGCCGTGTATTCATGCCAGTTAGGAGTTTATAAGATAATTAATTAACACTTTAAATTGGTCACCGGGTCAGTCTTCTGCGTTAATTATATGAGGATATTAGTCATGCCAATAGTCACCATCTTTTACCCTCCCTGTTTTCCCTATAATTTCATATATACTCTATGTTCTCTTGTATAGTTAAGGGGATCTCTCGAGGGTTGTAATTTGTAAATATATTTACCGTCGAAATAATTGAGATTCTCATTTGAGACTATATTTTTTTTTTTCTACAGCAATGGATTTGCAGGTACATTTATTAGACTCTACTATGATTTTTTTTATTTAATTATTGACAATATTTTATGGTAAGATTCGATGATATATGATTAACTATTGATCACCAATTTTACGTACGTACCTGGGTGGCGCCGATTCTGCAGTTATGGATGACGATGCCGGTGTTCTGATTAGGGTCGACACGGCCTTGTGCGGTGACCATGTTCTTCTGGCCGGAGTTGGGACGGCGGGCATGGATGTCGCAGTCTTGTAAGACGACGGCAGAGTCGCCGAAGATGAAGTCGACGGTGCCTGCTATTAGACAGTTTATGAAGAACTGGCGGTTGCTGTGGACGTAGAGGGAGTCCTGATATGCGAGCACGTCGCACCGGTAGAAGGCGGAAAGGTCGGCGCCCACCCGGAGAGCCACCGCCTGGTGCTTGGACGGACCGGCCGTGTTTTGAAAGGTTATGTCTCGAGCCAAGAATCGTTCTCCTACTACAGCTGCAACGTATAACACAGTCGCTCATCGGTATGAGAATAAGATGGTAAAGTCTAACTCAGAAAATAAACATAATTAAACTAGAAGAGAATCCAAATTAAAATAAAACCGCATTTATAATTAACAGTAAAAAAAATCTTTGGAGATTTAATTTTTTTCCTTGCAGTAGGTTTTATGTTTATATTATTTTTATTTTAATCCAAATTAGAAGTGAATTTTGTTTTCTCGCAAAATTATATAGCTTTTTAAGCAAACTTTGATTTAGAATGGTTAAAACGAAATTTTCTTTCAATTAATCAGTCTTTTCATCCAAATTACATGTAAGGCGAATAATTGGTGATCATTGATATCATGGTACTAAAACATAAGAAAAGCATATATGCGATGTGATTGAGATGAGCCTAATTAACTTTCATATCAGTCGCCAGTCAATGTGTAAAAATATATTATCTTACGCAATCTTAACATAATAAATTATCTAAATAGATAATGCTCTCTCATCCTTTTAAATTATAAAATAGTTTTAAAAAAAGTTCAACGTCTCAAAATATAAAAACTAAAAATTTTTTTATTAATAATACTATTATTTTCATTATATTTTTTCTTTAATATTCTTTGATAAATAGAGTATTAAATAAGAAAATTTTTTAAAAATTTATATTTTTATTTTAAAAAGTAAAGTTATGAATTATATTTAATAAGTTTTATTAGTATATGTAATCTTATCTAAAGATATTTTATAATTTGAGATGAAAAAAGTATATCATAACACAATGCATTATGATAAATATATGGTAACACAATGCATGGCACTTAAACAGACTTGAAAAGGGAATTTTTTTTTTCTGGTCAAAATAAACACAAATTGTGGGATTCTGTAGCATTTATCATGTGATATACAATATCGATATGTCAAAATACTATATTAAAAATTAGAAATGATTTTTTTTGCCAACAAAAAAATAGTGCACATTAAAAATGCAACCCGATAATCTTTGTCCACTTGCGTTCCTCCGAATTATTTTGGCCTTCAAACAAAACATTTTCAAAAGTTGAACCATATTTTTGTTGTGCAATTTAAACATTAAATTAAACTAGCTCCTCCTCCATATCTATAGTCTATCCACAAATTCACAATTAATGACATTTCCATGAATTAGATACTCCGACAAGAAACATTCAAGTTGATAGCTTCAATCCAGCCAGTGCAGTAATATCATGTCATAAATTTAAAAGCATCCATATCTATACGAGCATTTAGTGAATTTATTGCCACCGGGTGCAATGAATGGTGGCTAAATTATTGATGCGTCTGAAAAAGGAAAAAAAAATCAATTTTCCGTTATTAAATGCATAACTTTTAAAAGTATTTTCTCTTGCACGTGGCATTTTACCCTTCTCATATATAAAAAATAAAAAAAAATAATAAAATAAAAAAAGTAATTAATGATACACACGTATATTTATGTGTGATTATAAAATGGACCATCAATTAATTCTAAAATGTAACTTCTTTTTTCCCATCTCATCTCTCCCCCCTAATCAATTATTCCTCACGTTTCTATTTATAGGATAAATTATTACTTTTAATTTATTTTTTTATATAAATAAAATTATATTTTTTAATAAACATTTATTGTAAACTTATTAAATTAACCCTTATAATTTTATCATTCATAGTTATAAAAAACAATTAATCAAACTTGATTAACATAATAAATAAAAGGTACTGTAGTTCAATTTTTTTATTTTTAGATACAATCAACATAGTTAACTGATTTTTTAAAATTATGTGATATAATTTTTTTCTCTTATAAATATAAATGGAGGGAGTGTATATACTAATCAAAAATGGATTTTGAAAAGTTATAAAAATATTTGGCATTTAACTAATTTTTTAATTAAAGAAAAGCAGATAACATAACCTTATAAAAAGAACTGGAGAAAGTGACATATTGTAAAATAGATCAAGATTTTGATAAGCATAATGATTAAGCTCTGTGAACAGCAGAGATCAATATTTTCCTCAAGATACTACCACCAAAAGTAAATGGTAAGGCTCTCTCAACTAAATTATTACAAACACAAAATTGTAATTCAAACTTTTACTGAATTGTTTAAATGATATGGGACTCACAACTTGTGCTAACTTTAATTGGTAAATGCTCCCACATTTTGAGAAAAGTTTTGTAATGAAGAAAAGGAAGAATGCTGGCTCATAATTGTATGGAAGAAGTAGTTTGAAAATTAAGTTGAAGACTTCACAAGTCATGAAGGAGATCCATCAGACAGACAAAGACTATTTCATTTCCGTGCATATACATGCATGAGCTGTCCCCCAATTTTTTTTTTTTTTTTCTTACTACGCCTTGAAGCCTACGGACCTCTGACCTGGTCCAATTCGCAGGCATATAGGCAATTGACTCCAATATCCAAAAGCATAAATCATTTAAGAAGTTTAGACGATTTTTATGTATTTTAAACATATAAATGTAAATCAACACTAACCATGTTAAATATTTTTAATTTGCCATGAATTGATTGCATTAGTTTATACTAATAATAAAATATATCCAGAAACTTATTTAGACTGCCATGCCAAAATATTTTTGTTTACGGCCTAAACTCATCATGCGTATATTCCTTTTAAAGTAATTACAAAAGAAAATGTGTACACAAATATGTTTTTACGGATCGAGGAACGACGATTGAGATATATAATGCTTTCTACTTACCTACAGTGGCGGAGTGAAAGGTTGTGCTTCCATCAACGACGTTTCTGTTTCCTGTGATGACAGTGTTGGTTCTTCCGTCTCCCACAAACATTATATTCGTCTTCTTCTTCGTCACTTCCACGTTCTCTCTGTACACTCCTGCTTTTATTCTTATCACATACCTCGTGCTGCTCCCCTCTGGCGCCGCCGCCACCGCCTCCGCCACGGTCCTGTAATTCCCACTCCCGTCCGCTGCCACCACCACATTTGGAGTCACCGTCGGCGCCTGCAGAAGCCTCCTGTCTCCCGCCGATATGCACTCCGGCCACCTTACCCCGTCCGCCGCCTCATCCACCTCCGTCAATTTTCTATTTCTCATCGACACTTCACTGTCCGTCATGTTCTTGATCATCGCCAGTGCGTTGCTGCACATGCGTTCCACGTGAAGTTGCCTGTCCATCAGCCCTTCTCTCACGTGTTTATCAGCGCCGTCGTGGGAAAACCCGTCCAGGCAGGTCTCTTGGTTGGTTATGGCGGCGCTGATGAGAGTCTTGAGGTCGTCGGCGTGATGACCGGAGTCTTCGAGGTCGGCGATGGCTCGGTGAAGCTCGTCCAGGGTGTTGTCAATCGTTTCTAAGCAATCGTGAAGAGCGATTTTCTCTCTCTTTGTGAGGCCTTTTCTGGTTTGGAGCTTCCTGACGTTGAAGTAGTTGTGTTGTGCGGCTCTGATGGTAATGTTGAGGGATAGTTCTATGATGTCTTTGTGGGTGGAGACTTTCCGAGCGAAGCCGGGTTCAGTGACGATGGCGGAGAAGCAGAGATCGGGGTACATGGTGGAACTGCAAGCGCTTTTGACAATTGCGTGTGCCATTCTCGAATGGACATTGTGGAGGCCATCGCCGGAGTTTTTGCGGGAGTTAACTCCGACGGAAACGCCGACAATGGCGGAGACAAGGAGCAGAGTAGTGAGGGAAGCGAAGAAGAAGAGCTTCTTGTTCTTCTTTGACATGGGAATGTGGTTGCCGGAATCCAGTGTTCCGGCGGAGACTTGGTTAGTTTTGCTCATAGGTGGTCAATGCAAGAGTTGACAAAATGGAGTTTTGGTAACAGAAGGAGTTGATGTGGCCAGTTTAAGGAGAAGAGATAAAATGATTTATGTAGCAAAATATTGGAGCACAACACGCAGCTTGGAACTGTCGGTGGCTTTTTAACTGCCAGTATAAGTTGGTACATACTAAATTCGCAATATATATAATTTTTTCATGAATTATAATTTTTAATTTAATTAAAATAGCAGTAGCAAGATTAAATTAAAATAAATACACAAAATGTGTAGCGAAGGAGATCAGATAAGGTGGAAGGAGTGAAAATGAGCGGATGAGAAGTTGAGAGTACCAATGATATATATGACTATTGAATGAGAGTTTTTTTTTTTTAATAAGGGCATTTCTCTGACAGATCTTGTCTTTTCTGAACATGATGTTTTTCATACTCATGACAAGTTAAAACAAAAAAAAAAAAGTAAAAAAGGCGCGGGGGATTAAACTCTTGACAACATGTTAGAGGAACGATATGTAAATTTCAAGAGAATTAATTAATTTAAATTAAATTTTAAAATGTTAAATTTTAAAAATGGTAAGTTTTTTAATTTTATAATTTTATTATGATAAATTTATAATTTATGTCCTAAATTTTAAAATAATTAAAAAATAAATAAATTTATTTTTTATTAAAATTTAAAACGTAAATTATAAATTTATTACAGTAAATTTATAAAATTGAGAGTTAAATTTATAAATTTTTAAAATTTAATATTCAAATTTAATTTAAATTAATTAGTCACTCTGGACCTCTTTATCGCTCTTCCTACTTGATAATTATTGCTTGATCAAAAAATATTTATTTATTTTACACGAAGAGAGAGGTTATTCATGAGTTGCCCGCAAGAAGGGTCGGGCATGAAATCAGTAGGGCCAACAATGTGGGGTCATATTGTCTGTGCTGATTTGTTGACCATAAACCAAGCAAAATCAAGGATGCTTTAGGCCCTACATCCACCTTATGATCCATTCTCTCAAAATAAAATAGGAAAAATATCAATAAAGGTTTTTTGATCAGACTTATTTTTAATCAAAACTTTTAAATTTTTAAAATATCACTGTAGTCTAGAGGCCCTAATTTGATATTAAATTTTTTTAAAAAAATGACAAAATTGGCTCTCATTTATATCAATATTAGAAATGTCTTGCCTTATTTGTTCATTTTCTTAATTCACTTGTTCATTTACTCATAAAATGTTATTTATTATGTTACTTAACTTGTTTATTTTTTTAAATGAAATCAAGTGAAAATCTGATAATGAACAAGTGAAATAAGGTAATGAATATCATTTTATAAGTAAATGAACAACAAGTCATCTTAAGATGATTTAAACACCTGAAATGAAATCAAGTAAAATAGAGCAATCAGCAAGTGAAGTAAAGTAATGAACAACAATTCGTAAATAAATAAACAATGTAGAGGTAATAAATAACATTTTATAGGTAAATGAACAAGTAAAATAAGGTAGTTATGATATTAATTTAAATGAAGGGTGATTTTGTCATTTCTCTCAAAAATTTAATATGAAATCAAGATTCCTGAACTATAGTAATATTTTAAAAGTTTAGGAGCTTTAATTCAAAATAAGTCTGGTCAAGGGGTCTTTAAAAAATACCATATCATCTATGTCTTGCCCAATTACAACTCACATACCATGAATCCACATAAACTAATTATATACAAAACGCTTTCACATTTTAATTGTATTATTTATGTAGTGGTCAAGGTATATTTTTCTCATTTAGTTAAAAATTGATCCTATTAACACTATCAAAAGCCCTTAACTATTTTAACCATTCAGGCATTTGGATCAACTAATAAAAGGATTCATCTAATTTAATAAGAGATCTTTAGTTTAAGCTCTGAGTATATGCAGCAACAATTAAATTCTTGGGGGTTATAACCACTAGTTGTCAACTAGTAGGGCCACACACATTGCTCGAAAGCCTGATCCTGCTTGAGCCATTCAAATTCGAAGCAAAACAGGCCGGGTACTGAAGAGGGGTCAAACCTACCCTAACAAACCCGGTCAGAACATATGCCATTTTTTTTTTTTAACTTTGTGAATAATATTTATTTTAAGACATTATTTTTTGTTGAGAGTTATCATGAACTATATTATTTTTAAGATTTTTTGAACATTTCTTATTATTAAAATTTTTTAATATCTTCCAAAATTCAAAATTTGTTTTTAACTTAATATTATATAAAAATAATTTATAGTTGTTGATCTACGGAATTAAAAAAGCTACTTTTGATTATGATTAGTTTTATAAAGAATATATTTTAAATGATAATATTTATATATTTTTCAAAGAAAATTTTTGATATATCTTTCAAAAAATTATTTCCAAATTTTTTGAGTTGTTCGAGCAAATCCAACTCAAATGTACACTCGGGCATAAGGTTGGTTTGAATTGTACATTAAGTTAGGCACTCGGCAAGGATAATGCCTAACCCCACCCTATTCATATGGGGCCTTATCAACTAGATTAGTCTAAGCTAAAGGTTTGAATATTGAAGCTCATAAGGGGGGGAAAAAATCAAAAAGGCTTTAACTATTTTGAGCGCTAAGAAAAAAGGTCATGGAATTTAAATCTTATAAGCATTAACTTAATCCCCCCGAAGCTACCACTTTACCATGACAAAAATTTATCAGCGCCACTTGATCAATAGACCAGTGTTTTGAAGAAGCCGAACGGAAAGGCAACATTGATTTCACGGATTTGGATTTGGTGCGTGTTCTTAGTATAGGCATTGAGTATCCTTTTTATCTAAGTCATTGAAATCTCAATTTAAATAAACTCACTCATTTATTAATTTTTGATGGAGTGTGATTTCAATTGCTTAAATAGGATAAGCACTTAGTGCCTGTACGACGGTACGTAGGGAATCCAGTCTGTTTGTTTCTCTAGCCATTACTTGTTTGTTTAGTGCTCCTTCGTTTGCTGCTATTTAATTTATGTGTATCTGAACCTCGTTATGCTTTGATGGTGTGAAGCTTTTTTGCTGGTTAAAAAAATAAAAATCGGCAGCTTCATGTGTGAACCTTTTTGACAGACAAGGAAGCAAGTTCAATATATATATATATATATATTTAATTAAAAAAGATACTCTTTCAATTACAGAGCCAACGGGGTAGGCAGATACTTTTTTATAGAGGCTTATAACAAATTAAAGATTTCATTGATCTGGGCTAGCAACACTATACATATAGTACCGAACTCAAACCCAGATTAAGTTAACCTTGAGGGTATAAATGAAATTAAAGTCCAAGGGCATATGGAAACCCAGTAGAGGCCAACCAGGTTGAGCCAGAAATGAAGCTTCCAGGAGTGAAAGTTAGAGCTTCGGAAGCACTGGTAATAACCCTAAAGCCTTGCCAATGAACTCTTTGAGAAGTATTAGCACCAGGTCCAGTGTTCTGATACTCGCCATAGAACAGAGTGTCCAATGCAAACGTCCCATTCCAAGCCAACCACCCAGCTGGGTTTATTATATCGCTTATATAACTCTCCATTATCACTGTCCTCGAGTATTCCTTCCATGGCCTACCAAGGTACGATTCCACGCTTCCATTCGCTGCCTCCAGACTCTGCATATATATACATGCATCATCAAAGATTAATGATATACTTTCTTCTTTTGATTATCAAAAATGTGTAATCTGCATAATACCTGAGTGGCTCTGATGGTGCAATTTTGGATGACAATGCCGGTGTTCTGGTTGGGGTCTACTCGTCCTTGTGCAGTGACTACGTTCTTCTGTCCTGATAAGGGAAGCCGAGCTCGGAGGTCGCAGTATTGGAACACGACAGCGGAATTGCCAAAGATGAAGTCGACGGTGCCTTCGACGAGGCAGTTCACGAAGAACTGCCGATTGATCCGGACGTAGAGAGTGTCCTGGTATCCAAGAAAATTGCATCTGTAGAATGCTGAGAGATCGCCTTCCACTCTCAGAGCCACCGCTTGGTGCTTCGTCGGACCCGCCGTGTTCTCGAACGTTATGTCTCTCGCCAAGAATCCATCTCCTTCTATCGCTGCAACACACCCGCACCCACATGCTTATTATAATATTTAATTACCTTGATGTTTAGTATCAGTGTGTGTGCACGTATTATGGCTTACCCACTGTGGCAGAACTATAGGTTGTGCTCCCGTCAACAACATTTTGGCTTCCTGTGATGATAGTGGTCGTTGCTCCATCTCCCACAAACATGATATTCGTCTTCTCACTCGGCACTTCCACGATCTCACTGTACACCCCCGCTTTTATACTTATCACATACCTGGTGCTACTCTGCTCCGGCGCTGCTGCCACCGCCTCCGACACCGTCGTGTAGTTCCCGCTTCCGTCTGCTGCGACCACCACATCTGCATCCACTGTTGAAGCTTGTAGAAGCCTACGGTCTGCCGTCGAAATCCACTCCGGCCACGTAATCCCATCCTCTTCCTCTACTTCCATCATTTTTCCGCTAGTAATGGAATCTTCAGTGTCGGTCATGTTCATGATCATCGCCAACGCGTTGCTGGACATTCGTTCCACGTTCAAGTGCCCGTCCCCCAGTCCTTCCCTCACGTTCCTGTCCTTGTCATCGTGGGAGAATCCGTCCAGGCAGGTTTCTTGGTCCGTTATGGCGGAGCTGACGAGAGTCTTGAGGTCATCGGCGTGATAACTGGAGTCGTTGAGATACGAGATGGACCCGCGAAGTGCATAGAGGGTGTGGTCAATGATCTTCAAACAATCTTCAAGAGCGGTTTGAGCTCTCTTTGTGAGGTCTGCTCTCGTTTGGAGCTTCTTGAGGGAGACGGAGTTATTCTGTACGGCTCTGATAGTGATGTTAAGGGACAGTTGTATGACGTCTTTGTGCGAAGAGACTTTCTCGGTGAAGCCGGGTTCGGCGGCAATGGCAGAGAAGCAAAGTTCAGGGTACAATGCGGAACTACAAGAGACTTTGACGACGGCGTGTGATCGGGTGAAAGGAACATTGTCAGTGCTAACTCGGACGACAATGGCAACAGTAATA